CCCCTCCTTCCAGGAGCTGTAGAGGGGATAAAGTCTCCTAACTTTGATTGAATCCATCCAAAGTAATAATAATAATACCACCACCATATATATATATATATATATAATGGAGACCTTAAAAAAAGCCTCTAAGACCAGCTGGCTTGAATGTACCTGTCTGCAATAATAATAATAATAATAATAATAATAATAATAATAATAATAATAGAGAAAATGAAAACAGGAAAAAAGCAGATCTCTAACAGTACACTAATCAACATTTCTTCGTGCGTCATACAAAGGGATGGAAATGAGTTCTACTGAGCTGTACATGAGAGTTATTAGTTCTCTGGTCACAGCTGCAGAGTCACAGCTCTGCAGGGAGCTGCTGCTCTTCAGGGGTGTTTCTCCTGGTGTTAATTAAGCACCAAAATGTGCTCAGCTCCATGGGTGTCCATGCAAGGGGGTGTCCTCTGTGTGACCACATGTGACAGACCACAAGCAAACCAAAACGCAATGGACAGTGAGATGGCCAAGGGCATTGCTGTGGTGGCAAGGTGAGCAGAAGCAGCACAGGGGACCAGAAGCAGCACAGGGGACAAGCATGCTCCTGCTTGGGGACATGTCACATAAACAACTGGAGTCCCACACGTGCTGGCAGCAGCATGCTCCTGCACTGGAGCTCATGGAGATCCACTTGGTCTGGTTCTTCAATCGCTAAACAGTTTTAAAATCCCAATGTCACCCTAAACCATCCCATGTACTTGTTCTCATCAGCTGAGCTGTGCCCATTCCTCTCCTGTCCCTCTCCACCTCCTGCCTGTCCAGGTCCATGAATCCCTCGTGTTCCCATCCCAGGGCCTCAGCAGCCAAAGGTGCTCTTGAGCAGCCAATAAAACCTTGAACCTCTTTGCACATCGTTTTCCATCAAAACCATTTAATACCCCTACCCAGTACCTGTGCCCAAACCCATGAGATCAGGGTTTGCAGCTTGCCCAGCTCTCTAGGACCATGTCCTCGGTGCTTCCTAAACCCCAGTGGCACCTGCATCTGGCAGTGAAAGCATTTTGAGCACTTAATATCCTGCAGGATTTGGGGAAATCAAATTATTTCTCCCCATAAGATACCCTTTCCTCCTCTGCCTTTGCAGCCAACTTGACTCTTGGCAACCCCACCAGCATCTTTCTGCATCATTGAGTTCACAGAACTGTGCATGCTGCAGCCACCTCAGCAGATGTAATCACACCTCGCCTTCCCTTTGCTGGGACCTGGTTCCCAATAACCCACAAGTCTTTGCCTGAATCCTATAATTACTGGGGATTTCTAGAACACATGGATAAAACACCATTTCTGGTGTTTGTGAGGTATTTATTAGCCACAATAAGATGCTAACTAGTAATTAGTAGCTTATTTGCTGTCTCGGCTCACCACCTTTGCTCCAAGGCAGAAATCCCCTTTTCAGACATTTTTTCAAGGTTTGGGACCCTAACAGGACACCGAAGCTGGGGCTCCTGACTCTTCTCCAGTAAGACCAGTACAAAAGAAGCTATCAGCCAACTTAGCAGAGAAAAAAAAAAAAGAGTAGGAAAGTCTCCACCTCCTTGGAGAAACATCCTCACTGCACTCCCTTGCCACTGCTTTTCCTCCAAAGCCCACCACAGTTTTCCTTTCCTTGTAGGAGATGGAGTTTGATATTCATGGCCGGTACAGCCATCCTCTTAATATTGGCTTTGAATGTCACTGGTACCTGCGGAGGTGGCAATGAAGGCCAAAAAGGGATTTTTCCCTTTGGAAATCCATCCATTATCATTAAAAGCAGAAGATATGTGGCACTGGTGCATATGAAGGATGTCTCTTCTAAGCAGTGCTGACACTTTGGAGTGCAGCTCAGCCCTTAAAATATTTATTAGGAAATGCTCCAGAAGGGACACTGATGGCATCAGCTGTGATAAGATCCTGTATTTTATTTAAAACGCACACATTTATTTCCTGTAATGGGCTCTGACAAGGGAAACACTCAGAACCATCGACTCTGGTGCAGTGCAACACCAGGTGCTCAGGAGCAACACAGACCTGTGATACCTCTGTGCCAATCACAGAGCAAAATCCTCCCCAAAATAAATCTTTTGCTGCTTTATTCTACCCCAATAGCAGTGCACAGACCATGTCTCATTGGAAAGCAGGAGTGCCGGTCATTTATATTAAGAACCAGAGCATACAAGAGCAGGACCCCCAGCTCCATACATCTCATTCCCTATAGCTCAGCCTCCCCCAATTCTTTCCCAGCAATTCTTTATTTTCATTATAATGAAATTCCACACAGCAGCCCCAGGCTGCTGGATTTATGGTGGGCGAGGGGATGTGTTTCAGAGTCCCACAACATATTTGTTATCCAGGGACCAGACAGACTCTTACAGCTGTGTTTTTTCCCCATTTCTGCCCAGTTCTCAGCACATCCTCACCTGGCAGCACAGAAACACAAAGCTCCTGGGCCAGCTCTGACCCTGAGCATTCCCTTGCACCATAATTAAGCAAATTTCCTGCGTTTTCAGGGGCAAGAGATTTATCTGGTGTTTTGCTGTGGCTGGAAGCTGTGTGCTGCTGGCAGCAGAGGGCAGCAATGTCCTGCCAGGACCTGGCCAGCCAGGAGCCTCCATCAGAAACCTGGAAGAGACAGTGTGGGAGGTGGTGGTGGTTTTAGTCAGTTACAATTCATCAATTTGCTCTTTTGAGATTTATCAGCTCCTGCAAGTGCTGTGCTGCCATGTGCTGCCTCTTGGTTGTATTTAAGCAGCCCCAGTTCCTCGCTGAAACAGAGCAACTGGCACTGCCTGAAACGCAGCAGCCCCGTTCCCCTACTGCATGGGGAGCTTCAAACTGTCAATGTTGAAATTAAACGTTTGCTACCAAATTTTCCATTAATCTTTAAAAGTGCAGGTCCTGGGTGTCGTGGTTGAACCCTGCAGGACACTGAATGCCACACAGCTGCTCGCTTGCTCACACCTGGTGGGGTGGGGGAGAGAATGGGAGGAGAAAGGTTCAAGTACTCATGGGTTGAAATAAAAAGTTAGTAATTGGAATAAACTAAAATAATAAAATGATAACAATAAATTGTAATATTAAGGAGGTAGCACCTTCAAATACAGCAGCAGATGGAGACGGACGCACAAACCTTGACGGTGCAGAGGGGTGATAGCCCATGTGCAAAGCTCATAGCAAAGCTGTGACAAACAGGGACAGGGCCCCAAGGAAAACCCAGGGGTTGTGCTCTGATGCTCCAGAGAAGAGGCAGAAATGGCTCTGCTAACCATTAGGCCTAAAGCAAAGATTTTAAAGGCCAAAAAAACCATCAGTAAAAGACCAAATAAAAGCAAACAAGATCCCCAAAGAGCTCAGACTCCTCCATCAGTGAAGCAGGCCAACCCCAAATCCACAATACTGTATACTTTATTTAAATTAACAAAACTACACGTTTTCCAGGTTGCTTAAAGCATTCTGTAAAAACTGAACTCGACTTAAACAAAAAAAGGATATATTTTAATAAGACCCAGGGACTATTTCTGAGACATATGAGTAGGGCTTAGGAATTAATAAAAAAAAACCCACACACACAGACACGCGCCCCGTAAACAAGTCGTTAGTGTTTGACACAAAATTTGGTTTTAAAGCTGCGGCTCCCCCTTTGTAAGGAGCCGTTACAAAATGCAGTGCTACCCTAAGCTGGAAAAGAAACCACGGACACATCTATTGGAACAACATAAATATCACGTTGGAACCCGACCTAAAAAGGGCGTTAAAGTTGCAAAGTCAAGCGCTCAGCCAGGAACGCGGGGAATGAATGCGATGTGCGTTAATTTAATTCGCTTTGTAGTTGAACTACCACAAGTAGAAACATTGCTTGCACCTTCTAGCATTTACTTTGCAACTGGAAATTACCTAAAAGTCAGACTCTGCCATCTATGCTGGAGGTGTGGTCTCAGTACTTACTCCACATACAATACCGGTGTGGAATTACTTATTCCACATACAATGAGTATGATACAGTATGATACTTATTGTGCATGCAATAATCTTTTAAATAAAAAGTTTTAAACCACATTTCCTTTCAGCACAGGGGTGTTATTGTCCCATTTTACAGCCCCAAACACCAGCGTGACGGCATAGCCAGCATGCAAGGGGCTTTAATTGCACATCCTAAATGTATTCACAATCGATGTGTCATTTCAGGAGTTTTAAGGATCCAATGATGTGTCCCTCTTTCCAGGACAGGCGATAGCTGCCCATCAGCGGCTCTGGAAGTGCCCCCTCTCTCCCTCATTTCCAACCCTTCGGCCACTGACAGCGGGAGCAGCTCCTCATCCTCTTGGGACAGCACTGGGAATGGGAGGTACCCATTAAGAGCAGTTTACACACACATACTACTGCCAGGCGATGGAGACCTCTGCATCCTCACACTCCTTTCCAGGACCTGAAGAAGGAGCAGCACAGACCCTTCTGGCCACTCCTCCAGTGCACCCCATTAACACTGCTCTTAACTGGTCCCCAGCATAACCCAGTTTACACCTCCACCCCAAATCACTTCCCATTCCACTGAAACATGGCTCAATTCAATTACAGATGGTGGCATTAAGTGTTGTTTTAAATAAGGCTTTAGTCAACCCCAACCAACGCCTTGTTTAAAGTTACACAGGAGGAGAAAACTCAAAGTACTGAGTAGGTGCTTCCTGCATTGCCTTTACGTGCAGGCACAGGGCAGCCAAATAAAAACCTCCCAACGTCTGCTTGTCTTCTTCCTAATGACTTTGCAACCTCAACGCTTCTCTAGTGGGGTTTTACGTGCTGCAGTGTAACACAATATACAGATCCCTCCCCCCGGAAAAAAACTACACCATATTAAAGAGTTTACAAACGTTCTGCTCGGTATGGGGTGCTGGAGCAGGTTGGGTCGGAGAGGTTTCAGGGTGCTGGGGTGTCCCCTGCTCCCCACCCCGCTGTGAGGCCTGGCTGAGGCCACTGTGGTGTCACTCCTGAGCCTCCTTGCGAGCCAGCTTGTAAACCTCGGTTGGGCCGTCCACATGGGTGATGGTGGTGGTGAGCTGGAGCTCCTCCCCGCTGTTCACTCCCAGGTCACCTGAGAAACAGAGCCATGTCCTCAGTCCAGTCTCACCATGAAAGATTTGGCAATTAGACAGCAAAGGACTTGTTTTGTTCCCTCCAGGCTCTCAGGAACTACCTGAGCTATGGACTATGCAACATTTCTATGAATCAGTCATTAAGGTTGGAAAAGACCTCTAAGATCAAGTTCAACTGTCGATCCAACACCACACTCACGTATGTTATTTGCAGTTATTTAAATGTAAGCATCTTAGCAAATTATGTGCCACTGAAGACCACTGGTAAGGGAATCCAGCAGCACTTGCCCAAATTTCTGTTTTCTCCTTTCCTTATCCCTCCATTTGAGCTACACTAACGGTAAAGAGCACAGAACCCATCTGGAAGGTTTCAGACAGCCTTGGCTAAACACCCAAACCTGCCTAACCCAGTTATTAACTAAAACGTCTGCTGGGGAAACCAACCCATCATCTGCGTAACATTTCAAGGTGCTGAAGGTGCACTTTGGCCAAAAATAACATGCACAAAAAGGTGTCGCCCACTTTCAGATCAGAGAGACATTTACCATTGGACTGGTCATCACCATAGTTCTTGTGTGACGGCGCATAGAGGAACATCAAGGCGAAGACGTAGAGGTTCCACATCCCGTAGATGCCGGTGAAAAAGGCGCTGTTCACCTGGATTGTCATGTCCCCCCACTTCCAGTGGCCCTCGGTCACCTGCACAAGTACAAAAGAGATCCTCTAAAGCACTAATTTGGGGTAAATGATTGTTAATTCATGTAAATGGAGCATAACACATTCAGCGAGGCAGAAGGATTCTCCTCTTTAGCCTTAATCTACAGGAAAAAAAATGGTCCTTACAAAATGATCACATCAGGATTTCTGCAACTTTGATTTATTGCTCTTAAATGTGACAAAACCTCTCATATTCTGCAGTATATCCCCACCATAATTGATGTGTTCAGCAAAGACTGCCACATAAAGGGCAGGCAACTACAGTTACATCCGAAAACATCAGGCTTCTATAAATAGATCTTTTCTGGAAGGAAAAGCAGCGTGAATAATGTGAAGAGCTGATGTGCTGAGCGCTGCTGCTGTCCTGCAAGGGGGGCCCGGGCTGACAGCAGCAGCCCCAGCATGTCGAGATTTACCTAAATCTCATCAATATTAATACTACTTGAAGACAGCAGGCTGTTCACACCGGAATACTAGCTTTCCGTTAATGAAAGAGACAAACAGGAAAACAAAAGCTAAACTAGATTAAAAAGAGAGGCTGGGAAAGATAATTTGTGTTATACCCATGTGTAGTGGTGGTCATTGACGCTAAAGGTGGCCTGAATTCCCATTTCTCAAACCATTGCAAGATTTTTTTTAAGAGCAAAATCAGCTGCTGCTGTATTTTGTGTTGGGACCTCAAAGTGGGGCACTGAGGGAGAAACTGCTCCTGCAACCCTAATTCAGCAAGGCTGGACTCACGAGGCTGTACCCATAGCATTTAGCAGATGCCAACACTCAGGAACACAACCAGAAATGCCACCTTTGAAACAGACGCCATCTCAAAAGTCACTCAGAGTAAACCCAAGTACATTTAAGCAGCGATAAAATCTCATTTTTACAGGGGCTCTGCATTGGAGCTCAGAATAAATAGGTGAGGAAATGGCTGGGCTGCCAAGTCAACCCAGGGGACTGAGCTCTACTATTTCTCTGTGGGCACACAAAGCCACCACATTCCTTCAGTGCACACAGGACATGTTTCTTCTTGCTGAGTTCTCAGAAATGACTAAAACCGTCTTGGCTGATGTTTCAAACAGCATGGCCCCAAACCTTACCATGACCCCGAGGTCTCTGTGAAGGCTTCAGCCTGAGAAGTTTTATGGCAGTGCTTCAAATACATGAAAACAACTTCTTGAAAAGCAACTTATGACCAAATCTGTGCGTAACAGCCATGCCTTGCTTGAACAGCAAGCGAGCCACCGCTGTTAGCAGCTGCAGATGTCATTAGCAGCTGGAGATGTCCTCAGACGTCACTCACCTGGCTGACGATGAAGAAGATGACGGTCATTGCTGCACAAGCCAGGGTAATGAGCATCAGGAACTTGAACCTAAATATCAGCCCCTGTTCAGGGAGAAATGTCACTCGTCACATTAACAAAACCCGCAAAATCCCATTTTTGGTTTTAGCATATACAAGTATTTTTTTTTTAAAAAAAAAAGGGCAAAGAAAAAAAGGGTCCAACCCACAAAACCCCAAAGCAAAACAACCTCCGCCCACGCCATGTTCATGCCAGCCCATGCTCTGTGCTCCCCACACGTCTGCGCTCCTCTCAGCTGCTCCGAGCGGGCTGTGCGTGTCTGGACAGCTCTGGCTTTCCATGACATCTGCTTTTCGTGACCGATTTACCACCGGTTAACACGGGTCTCATCCGCTGGCCTGCCTGACAGCTCATCGCTTCCCTAAACAAACATCTGTGGTAGCTCAGTGTGGCGGTGTTTCGGCAGCATGGGGACCGCTACCAGACCCGTCCTCACCGCCCCAGCCTGGCCGGAAACTGCAGCCCTCCCCAACGCTAGCCAAAATTACGCTGGCTATCGCAGAAAAATGTGAATTATAACAAAACGAGGGCGCAGGACCGCTCAGTTGGGAATCTGACTGCGTACTGTGCTTGCTTGCACTGCTTTTACATTAATAATCTTTGGGGTGTTGTTTTTGTGTGCGTGTTGGGGTTTTTTTTAACCTGGTTCTGGAATTTTGGTGGAAATGTCAGCATGTGCTTAATTACCCTGTCACCCTGTGACAACTAATGACTATTGATTTAACACTTCCAGACCAGATTCACGCTGGCCAGATGTCTGTAGGTAGAGCATGGCTGCAGCAGCTCTGCAACACGAGCTGAGGTCCTGTGCATCTTGCTCAAGGGAAAGATGGGAAAAACGCTCAATATCTTCTCCTTAAGTCTGAATTTGGTGGTTTGTTTTTTTTTTTTAACATGCATTCCTGATGGGTGATAAGGCAATTATTTAAATGAGAAGTGACCATCATTAACAGAACACTGGTGATAAATATTTACACACCCTTGGAAACAACAGGCACTTGGCTTCAGCATTCTAAAACAAGCTTCTCATGTTTATATATAATGAAACCTATATTTAAAACATCATATATATATATACACACACACACATTATACGTATACATTTTATATATACACACACATATATACATACATACAAATATGATGATATATCGTGTTATATAAAATCATAGGCTGAAAACAGGGATAATGGGCTGAACACGTCACACTTTGATCCTAGTGGGACAGTTTCCCTCCTGCAACTTGGTTCAGAAAAGACAACCCCAAAAACCAGAATTCACAGTGATCTTAGCAACAGTCTCCATTTAAATACTCATTAATATTACAAAAGGAGAAGCAGAGGTATGGACAGCTGGTGGGCTTACACCCCATAGTAATTTAAATGGTAATTTGGCCAATTTTCTTCTATTCTCCAACACTGTTCCTTATGCTGGGAGATGGCAACTACTGGTAAGAAAGGAGAGCAAACTCACACCTCCTGACAGCTTAAAGTACTCCATAGATCCAAACAAAGAAGAAACTTCACAAGAGTCAGAAAAAGGCCTGTAGGGGATTTTAGCAACACAAGAAAGCCAGTACCGATCAGATCTGCCAATTCAGGGCTACATGGATAGAGAGGATCAAAAAGGCATTCAAAAAAATAATCTGTGCAAGAAGAAGGGACATTACCTCGTAATGAAGGCGGCGAGCCTTGCTCATGGCTGGGAGGCTTGACTGCTTCCCACTGATGTTCCTGAACACTTGGAAGACCATAAAACACAGGAAGAGAAAATAGAGACACAAGCAGATTCCCGCGACGATAATAAAGGCCATCTGGACAGCATACGTTAAGAGAAAATGGCAGGAGGTGAACTGAAATAACAGAAAACACTATTATTCAGAAAATGCGTGGATGGGGACATGGTTTATTGGCCATGGTGGGGTTGGGTTGATGTTGGACTTGGTGATCTTGGAGGTGTTCTCCAACCTTAATGATTTTTTAATTCCAAATGACACCAGCATCTCCCACAGCACCTGAGCCCAATCTCACAACCCCAGTCTGACAAGAGGAGGGTTCCCCACATCCCTGGCAGGATGGGAACACCTCTCTCTCCTGTCGACACAGACCCTCAAGGTGAGTGGAAGGATACAGCCAGCTCCGTGCCCACTTCAGTGGTCCAGATGCTGTAGAAAGGGTTCTTCAGCTGCACACCCCTGCAAAGGGAAAACACCGAGCTGCCGCAGGAGCCAAGAAGCTCAGAGCCCCACATCTGCTCTGCAGCCTGGGAAGAGCCACCCAAGCTGCTTTCCAATTTCTTTATGGGCCCATAGGATGAGATGAGCTGCTGGCAAACACCAGCATGCTGCAATGCCCCCACAGAAGCCTCTCCTTGCTTTTAGAGATGGCGCTCTGCATCCAGTCACAGGTTAAACTGCACCTACCTCTCGCACATATCAAAGATGAAGAGGCAGAAGGAGCCAACGGCTATGGGTCCAACCTGCTTCCAGTACCCTGAGAGACGATTTCGCTCGTTCTGGTCCTAATTAGAGGGTCAAGAGGTGCGGAGGAGGAGAAAAAGGAAAGGCAAGTTAGCATGAAGTACTCCAACTTGGAGCAAGTGCCTGCAGCACTGCTTCCAACACCCAGTAAGTACAAGGGAGATGCCAGGTAATTGCTGCAAGTGCTGGAAACCCCTTTCCCTTCCGTGCTGTACCCACCATCATGTGCTCCCCGCAGAAGATGATCCAGAACGACAGAAGCATGGCATAGAAGATGCCTTGTCGAATGTCTCCGAAGAGCAACATCCATGTCCAGTCAAACCCAATGGAGAACCACTCCACAGGGATGTTAATGAACGTCATGGAGATTCCCAAAGCAAAGATGACCCTGCAGAGGCAGAAACACCATCGCTTTCCAGTTTGTACAAGGACAGAGCCTCAGAAGTCAAAGCTGTGCGTGAAGAGCAAGAAGAGGAAATCTGGCCCTGTTTGGGCAGTGGGGTGTCACCTCCTGCCAGCAAACCCTGTGAGCAGCCATGGGCAAACACAGCTCCTCATCCTCTATGGGTTTTGTGGGGAAAGGAGAAGCTATGAAGGAAGGGGATGGAGAAGAGACCACCTCCATCTCCCGAAACATGGGTTCTGGCGGGGAGCAGCGACCACCTTGGTCAGGCTCCTCTCACTCAAGGGTCACCTCAGCCAGCATGCAGGTCCCCACTCACTTCTCCAGCAGGACAGGGGCGCGAGTCATCAGTGTGATCCTTCTCCAGTACCAGACCATGATGATTAAAATGCTGGGGGTGAGGAAGGTCTTCATGGCAAACCACACCTTTGTGAAGCCTCCGTTTTGATGGATGCCCTAAGGAAAAGCAAGGTGGGATGCAGCAGCTGTATAGGTTTTAACCATCATTACTCCATGCTTCTCCTTGCAGAGAAGGCATGTACAAGGCAGCATTTAACATGTAAGGACATGCAGATCCTTTGAACGATGCAGTTTCCTCAAAACAGGAAAGGGAAACGTAACAAGATATTCATGAAGCAAAGTCACCGCTGGTGGGAAACACATCAGCCAAATGAATGCACGTCTCCAGACACACATCCTCCCACCGCTGTCTGCAGTCACCACAGCCACCTGGCTCGAGAAGGATGATGGTGGGAGGTTTTCCAGCTGGGAGAAACCCAGGGCCAAGCTTCAAGTGACAGCCACCCCAAACATCTGCCTGCAATGGCCAACTCCATGACAGACCAGGACCCCCTGAACCTCTTCCTCCTTAGCTCCTATCCATGAGCAGCAGCTGGAGGACTCTGCACCCAAGGATGTGGTGGGGAGAAGATGGCACAGGGGAGCTCTCAGAGCTGTGGGATGAGCCCAGCTCTGCAGGAGGACAATGGGCATGCAGGAGGGTGGCACTGCTCAAGGACTCCACAGGAAAGACCCTTTCTACACCAAAAGGGATGTCAAAGCCTGGCACAGGCTGCCCAGGGAAGTGGTGAAAACACCAACCATGAGTGTATTTAAAAGCCACCTAGATATGGTGCTCAGGGACGTGGTTTAGAAGTGGGTATGGTAGAATTAGACTTGATGATCTTAAAGGTTTTTACCAACCACAATGATTCTGTGATTGTAAGAGAGCAGTCAAAGAGGGCATCCGTTGGGAAGGAGTAAGGTCACATTTGCAGGCACAAGCTATATGCAATGAGCAGGAGGACCTTGTTGTGGATCAAACAGACTAAGAACGGAGCTGAAGCAGCCCCCAGGCAGACAGAAGATGGACACTCACCACCAGACGGATGTCCTTGATCTCCCCAATGCCCACGTTGATGCCTTTCCTCTCGTTGACAGGCAGACGGATGTTGATGAGGTAGTATTTGTGGGCCACGCTGCCAATCTCCATGAAGGGCAGGAAGTCGCAGTCATAGTGACGGCCTTCGGAGTCTGGAATCTGGAGACGGGGCACAGAGCAGCAAGAGATGGTCAGCCTTGGATGGACCAGCACAGCCTCCACATGGGGGTCTGCAAAAGCCCTGATGCTGGGACCACCGCTAGCACCGAGAGCCTGTTTGCTAATTGCAGCCTTTGCCTGGGGAGAGCCTGGGGAACATCAGAGGTCTGGGGACATTATTGCTTGAGTTTTGGATTGTTTTGGGTCATTAAGTCAAAAGTGTTTGAATTCAAGCAGGTTCATGTCTCAGGCTCTTTAATGTATTCAAAGCCAAGGGAGCCTTTCAAGATGAAAGGCTGCTTTGGGATCCAAGCACAACTTGAGCCAAAACAAAACACACAACTCTCTCACATGTGTCTTGATTTGGGGTTTTTTTAAGCCCTGTTTTACTAGCAACACTACCCTCCACACCTTGTATGCGTTTACTGTGTTCATGTGGCTGTATGGAAGCGTACAGGTGTTGCTAAAGGGGATTCTGAAATGGGAGAATGAGACACAGAGCACAGTATAGAGACACCAGATTAATTTAAGCATCAGAGTTAACAGTCTGCAGCACAAAAAGAAACATCTTTATTCCAACAAGATGCTCTGTTCTCACTGCAAGCTGTGCTCTCTGCTCCTCAGCTTTGCAGCTTAAGGCATTAAGAGGTTATTTAAGAAACTCCTGCCCCACCTCTCCAGGTTCTTTAGTGCTGCAGTGTCCTGGTGGGCCATTTCCTTGTCACTCCTGAAGAACAAGGTTTGTCCATCAGGGAAGAACAAGATGGAAAGGTCCAAGCTCTCCAGGATCATTTGGGTAGGTACAGATCCCCAGGCTACAGCCTGACAACAGCTGCAGAGGACACCTTCTCTTGTATTGCCAAACAGAACCAATTGCACATGGAGCTCATTAGGTTTTAAGAGATTTCTGAGCCAAAAGCAAGCTGAGCTGTTTCAAAGTTATCACTGAACAACTCAGAGCTTGTAGGAAGCCCCATGAAGGGGAGGATGAGGACAATTCCCATACATCCCCACCTCCAGTGTCATCAAAACCGCTTACTTTTGGTGAGCCAAAGGTGCATTTCAGCTTTCTGATCTCTATGGCATGCGCTATTTCTTCCCAGTCACCAAATGTGTCATCACGATACGCCAGCGACACATCCAGGGTCACCTCTGCATTTTCTTCTGCAAGAGCAAGGAGACATCAGGAAACAACTGCATTGCATCAAGGGATTTCCTTTAAGTCAACATGGAGCAGTGTTCTGTTACAGAACACCACAAAAAAGATGATGTACACAACTGTATATCATTAGATGAACTGTATAAAGGAGAAACCATGCAGCTAATGGCACATTTTGTTCATGTAGGTATGACAGAAGTCGTCTATCAACGTAACCTGAGGTTTCTTATGGCTGCAGGTTCACCACATAAAGACTGAAGCCAAACATCTCGAATAAAAAGAGAATATGCCCCTTAACGATGGTTATGTGAAAGAAATAAAAAAGGTTGCAGGGGTCTTTGGGTGGGATGGGAAGGGAGGAGGCAGGGAAAGGCACTGCTGGGAGAAGGCAAAATGCATCACCAAAAGCACAAATTGCTTCAAAACTGCCCACAACCAGATCCTCTGATAAGCCAGGGTCCCAGTGTAATAAGAACACACTACACCAAGCTCCTTTAAAGAAAAAAAAAAGTTTAGCTATGCTGGCCTTGCTGGAAAATAACCTCAAAAACACCACATGTGGCAGAATTGATGTTTTCTATAGGTGCTGTTTAGTTTAAGTCATTCTGTGTGAGACTTTTGCAGCCCTCCCCTCCAGATGCACAACCCACAGCAGCACTGACCTATTTCTACCCTTACAGAGGTACCAACTTGCACACTGTTGAACACACAGAGTTTGCATGCCCAGGGAAGGCCACCACAGCGAATCTGAACAAAAACAGCTTGCTGGACATGTTCACAGTAGGGACATGTGGTGTAACTGCTTTAAATATGCTCTTGCTAGGATGCTGCCAAGACATCATTGGTACAAGAAGGAAATGTGCCTGGAGCTTACCTAGGTTTATTTAGGTGCCACAACTGAGCAAGTTCATGAAATGAGGAGTTACAGCTGAAGCCTGTCAAGTACCAACATGCAAACACGCTTTGAAAACCCAAGGCAAGTCTGTACCAGCTCCACCAGGTGCAAAACCCTCCTGTTCACCAGGCACAGATCCCAGGACGGGATCTGAGAGAGGAACATGCTCTGAAACCAGCACATGCACACTGCAACCTGGCCTCTTTCCAGAGAGCACCGAACTGAGGGCCACAGCTGCTGGAAATACATTGGACAATGGTTACAGAGCCACCCATCATGGAGAAAGTGTTGAAGACGGCTACAAAGTCCCCTGTTGTGCTGGTGGTGGAGCTCCATGCTCACGGCACAGGCAGACACCATGCGTGCTCTGTCCTACACGGATGCGTAAAGCACACCCAACGCCAACGCCCATCACGCTTCACCCAAAACCACCCGGACAAAAAGAGTGCTCGCCTGCTCTTGCAGCAGCATGGGAATGGGCTGCATGGAGACATCAACACTTGATGAGCTTTGAAGTTCAACTCTGGAAAAAAATCTGGTCTTCATAGTTGTTTCATGTCTACACATAAGCATTGAGCCCTTCAAGTGCTGCGTGTTCCATCCATTTGTCATAGTTTTCAGTGGTAATTTTGCTGGCAATGCATGGTGGCACACTCACCCAAAGCGATGGGAAGGGGCATGGATGGTATCTGCAGTTCAGACTCACTATTTGTGGTGGTTGGAAGTGGCTCTTATGCATCTGATGTGGGTGCATCAACATTTTTGAGCTTTTTTATTAGCTTTTCATTTTACACACATGATCTATACCATCCAGATCGATATCAAGTTCCTCTCTGGAGCAGCCGTTCCTTAGGTTTCCATGAAACACAAATTTGCCATCTCAGATTCACTATTTAGAAACCCAGCAAAACAGATAAATGGGAACATAAGGTTGAACTTGGCCCAACTAAAAAGACCCCCAAACTTCATTCCAGAAGCCATAAAACCAACAGGAATGCTCGGGATTTAATCCAACAGAAGCGGCTTTCATTAGTTCATCTTTGTAACCCAAATGATGCTGCTGCCATTGAAAAATGACAAGTATAGAAAGCAGAAGATGTTACTGCTGTGTGCATTTCCAGAGCCGCTCCATTTCCAGCTCTCCCATTAAAACAGGGTTTTGTACAAAGACCCTTCAAGACCATCACCATAAAATACATATATATTTATATACATATATATGTATAAATACATTTGCACACACAGATTATATACACACACACATACATATATACATATATTTGAATATTAGCACAGCCAGCTGATAATCCTACGCCAGCCCACTCTTGGCCTTTCATTAGCAATCCCTGCTGCCCAAGAGGAACAAATCAAGGCAGGGACAACATTTGGCAGAGAAATTAATTTTAGGAAGATTCGTGACTTATTCATATGAAAAATGTCAGACGATGAACAGGCAATTTGGGAAATTTCCCTGCATGGGGGAAGAGGGAGAAGCAGCAGCTTCAAGATAAAGTGTTTTAAACGAACAGTGGTGTTTACCAGCAAAGCAGCAGACGGGAGGAGTGAGCAGGAGGCGAGAGGCTGACAGCGATGCCAGTTTTCACTTCTGGAAGTGCTGAGGGAGCAGAATATTTGAATTATTCAAGGCTGAGCCACAGCAGAAGAGGAAGAATAGATGCAAGGTATGCACTCAGCTTCCCAGATGCCAATGTGTTCGTGGAATGCAATTATTCAGTTCCTCCACGCACGCTAATCAAGATTCTCCAGGATTTCCCAACAACAAGAGGTAGAAATAGGTAGGAGCATAATATCAGCAGAGGATATTGTCACTTGTGTTAAAATACCCTAAAAATAGAGAGGTTGTTTCAGAGGATGGCTCTGTGCCAGCTGCACACTAATACGGTTGTCTGCAAAGAAGCGTACGCAAGCGAACGGAAATAATGTGAGAATTATCAGCATTACACTTCCATGCTTCAGCGGCTCACTGAAATTACATCATCTACCAAAAGACACCAAAATTGGATGAATTTGAAGTAATCAAATGAAGCCATGCAAATGCACACAATCGCTTTCCAACTGCAAAGAAAGCAGGAGTTATTCTCACTTACTGGTATTTTAAGTTCATGAGGTGTAAGAAGAGAGGAAAACAGGGGTTTTAGACTGAAAAGCTGTAAAGACCCCTCCATGCTGTCATGCCATCCGATAAACCGAGGCACTAATCTAATGCCCAGCACAGCGCAACCATCACTTCACGCTCCCCTTGGGGACACTGCATTCCTAGATTTCAGTTCAGTATTAATTAGCCAAATGGCTTAATTAATTTAACGCTGGGGGCTCCTGAAGCCTGGGGCAGCCCCCAAGTCCAGCTCCAGACAGATACCAGTGAGTGATTTCTTGGCACGTAGGTCAGAGGGAAGGACCAACGCAGAGCACTGCAGCTTGCCAAATGCAAACGGCCCAGGACCATGGCAGCCAACCAGCCCAAAAAATAAATAAAATAAAAAAATCCTCTCCAAACTCATGTCACATCCTCCTACCCTTCTCCAAGGCATCCTGCCCATGAGAGCCCAGCAGCAACAACTAAAGCAAAGCAGAAATGAGTTTCTGAAGTGAAGGGAACGTGCAGGGAGCAGAGATGATCGCCTGACCCTGTCGTCCTCATGGGCAGCGCTGATTTCCCATTGCAGCTTTTATGACTGAAGACCAGGTGGTATAAAAATGCCTTCATCTCATTTCTGTCTTTCCCTGTTCTGGGAAGGTTTTTTTAATAATTGAACACATAGTGCATCAAGAAAGGACAAGGACAGCTTGGGCACAGAAATAGGCTTTTCCTCAGAGAAACTGTGCATCTGAGCCTCCCCCAGCTTTCTGCAAGGGGTAAACACAAGGGAAGCAGCTCAGCTTCTAAACATCTGCATTCCTAAAACATTTCCGAACATCTGCATTGAGTCCAGAGCGAGTTCCCAAGGCGATCGTGGAAAAACCCTGTGGATCTGCAGCTCCCAAGCGGTGCTGGGCTCCCAAGCGGGTGCCTGGAAGCTGCCTTGAAACCTCAGGACAGAGCCGGCCCTGGTTTGGCACCAGCCCCTGCTGGCGTTAACCACAGCAGGGTGATGGCTGGCTCTGAGGTCTCGGATTAAAGCTGAGAGAAGAAACTCAAATTGGATTTAAAAGAAGAGATGAAGCAACTTCATTTCTTCACTATCGCCACTTCTGAGGAGATCATTCCAGTTACCTGAGCAATGAAGCTCTTGACGCTGATGCAAAGTTAGCAGCAAGATGCAGAGACACCTATGCAACTGTTTTGGCTTAACAACATTTTTATAATTACTTAATCTCTTATGACACAATCTAACAAGCAAGAAGTACATTACTCTCTAGTTTCTTAGATTCTACATTTACATCTGCTTTCAGCTTGGCACAACGTGTAGGAAAAGAGCATTTTAAAATATTTTCTTCAGTCAATGAAAGAAAACCTTCAAGATATGTAGAGTCAGCTTACACCATAACAACTATTAATGTCCCTCGCTTACAGAATCACAGAATCACAGAATCACA